CAGCCCACTGTGGATTATGCCATCCTTGGGCTGGTGGTACTGGATTCTATAAGAAAGCAGGCTGGGCAAGCAATGAGGTGTAAGCCAGTAAGCAGTACCTTCTGTGGCCTTTGCATCAGATCCTGCCTCCAGGATCCTGCCCTGTTTGAGTTCCTGTCTTCACTTCCTTCCTGTGCATGGGGAGTAGGAGACCTTGTGTGGAAACATACTTATTGTTGACTTTACAATGTAGTGAGCACACCTCAACTGCTTTTACGGTCTCCATGGAAAGCAGATTTGCTAATTTGTAGAGTCCTAGTTTTCTCTAGTATCTTCTCAAACTTCTTTTGTACTTGCCACTTAACAAGCAATTGTAGGATCCCTTTGGACTTATTTTGTCCAGATCATAACGTTGATGTTACTAATATATTTGCATGTAATGCCACAGTGTTCCAGTCATCTGTTAGTAAAGCTGTACTTAATGTATTTCCTGTTCTCATTTTTCAAAACTAACTATATTTTAATTGTGTTCTTCTGTCTGTTTGCCCTCATGTTCTGTTGATCTCCTTATTCTTTCCCAGACAATACAATCTTTAAGGTAGTTGTATTCAAAGTTTTGAAGTCAGATGATGTCACTGTGTGTGCTGTTTATTCAATCTTATGTTGATCATTTTTCATTCATGATGACCTTTTGCCATCACATTTCTGTTGCTGATGGCATAAATTATTAGACTTTTTATTGGACTTTCATTGAATCTATACCTCAAATTCTGAATTTTCATAATTGACATAATAGCCAAGATAACAGCAAACCACAGGGTTCCTTTCTACTCAAGGTTAGTCCAGCTCCCTGCTAAGGTAAGCCCATCTTCCATCAGTCACAAGTCCCAGTGGGATCCATACTTCTCAAAGATTCAATGTGCATTATTACACCACTTCTTTTAAAAGGCACTTTAATTAGATTAGCATGAATATAGGAGGAGATGGTGCATATGGACTAGGCAGATAGGTCCCCAAAATCAAAGGAATAGAGGAACAAATTTCATGGCCTCAAGCAGAGACAGTTGAGTCCATCCGTTTGTCTTTCCATACACATTATAACTGTGGAAGCCAAACATTGTCATCCAGTTGTTTCACCTTCTCTTTAGGCCCCAGACACAAGATGTTTCTTGGCCCCATTTTATCTCAGTTGAGTGTGATCCAGCTTGTGATTAGACAGATTTGAATATGGTCTGGATTGTGATCAGACAAATTTGTGGCTTTCCATGTTGGCTAGAATTTAAGACCTTCAGAATTTAATTACTTGCTAAAGTAATTAAACTGAATTTAAAACCTTAGCAGCCTTGGGTGGCACATCTGCATGGTTAGAAATGCACCCTCCAGATAGAGTCATCTCCAACAGTCACACTTAAGAACACCAAAAGATTGCCTTCATTGCTTCTATAACACCTGATCTCAGGTTTCCCAGGTTCTCTGAGAGAATTGGATAGGGACAGAAACACATGATAAAGCCATGCAATGAGAGAGAAAACAGGGACTTAGGAAGTTTTGAAATCTTATATTGTTTAGTCCCTTCTTAGATAGAGTAGGGAAGGTTATATTAAGAAAGCCTATAACCCCTCAAGAAGTACTGGCTCCCCCCGCTTTGAGGTGAATACTTTCTTCTTTTTGTTTCTCTCTCCTTCCTTCTCTCTTCCTCCCTCTCCTTGTTCTTACTCCCTGTTTTTCCTCAATTTCTTTCACTCTTTTCCTCTAGTGCTCTTTCTACTTAGGTTATATTTCTTTCATGGTTTATATTGCTCGAGCCTTAGGCTCCTGTCTTTGCTTGGTCTCCAATTAGTGGAAATAATTGTGTAAAATTAGGAAGTATGCCCTTGTGGATATAGGTGTGTCTTGTTTGTTAAGGTATATGTGGCCTTTGAGGTTTCAAAAGCCCAAGCCAAAAAGAGTGTTTCTGCCTCCTACTTATGTATTAGGATGTTAGTCTCAGCCCCATGCGTGCCTACCTTGATGTTTCCATTCATGATGATAATGGATTAATCCTCTGTATAATCAATCTCGAAATTAAAACCTGGAATTATAACAGTCACCTTGTTAATAGTGTTTTTTCACAGCAGCAGAACAGTAACTAAGATAGATTTTTTTTTGTACTATTTTGGCATATTGTATGTATGTATTCTTCCTGTGTCCTGTGAAAATGAGTAAGGCTAAATTAGAGAGTTATGGACAGCCTTGAAAAAACATGTAGTCTGTTGCTTGGTTATAACTGATGACTCATGCTGACCCAAAGAGTAAAAGAGCAACAGTAGGGGCAGAAATTAATGAAACCTGTGTGGTTTGGAAAGAAAAACAGCACTACAGAGTTTCAAGTGGCAGTCATGTGCTGAAACAGGCTGTAGTTGTCAGGGATATTAGGGCCATTAAAGGGAAAGCACCTGCTCTTCTTTGATAATATAGAAAAGATGTTGTGATATGAGTACCATGCACTAACCGTTTGTGCCACTGGAGCGTGCCCTGGGTAGGATGGGCACAAATCATGGGATGCTGGGCACTGACCAGAAGGAAAACCAGTGGAAGCCGTTAATATTCACTTGTCAAGTAGACCCAAATGAAGAGATGACATGACTTGTCAAATGGAATGCTTGTGGTGGTATACTTTCTACCTCATGATGAAAATAAAGAACAAAAGAAAAGATATTGCAGGGTTTCTTCCCAGCCAGCCAGCATTTAAATTGGGAAGGAAAAGGCAACAAGATTCCTATGCCCAGAAACCAACTTCATACAGAACTTGCTGCTGATCTGTTCTAATGCAGCATTGTCAATCCAAAGCTAGAACCCCTTGTAGACATATCATCTATATGTCCCATTTTTTTTTTGAAAGAAGAAAGATGTAACATTTCAAAGTCATGGAATCTTCCTCTGTGCTTTCAGTTCAGCACTGTTACAGCCATCTGTTTGACAAAGTCAAGGTCCCTGTGAGGAGACTGTGATAGTTCATTTTGTGAAGGTGTGAAAATGAAGCCTAGATTGCATTTATAGACCACTAAAGGTTGAAATGCACAAGCTTTGAGGCACCGACCATGAATAGCTACATGTAGGGAGTTGAAGGAGACAAAAAGAGAGAACAGGATGTGTGAAAAGTTGCAGAGAGAAAGAGCCATCTAAGCCCTTTGAAACTGAAGCTTCAGATGTCTGATTCAGAGCTACAGGATTTGGTGTCGGCCCAGCAGGTTTTCAGTCTTGCCTTGGTACAATCATTCCTACTTCTTTGAAATGGAAATGTATATTTTTTACCTTTGTGTGTTGCTTAGATATAATTTATTTTTTGACTTTAAGAGACTGCCTAGAGTGTCAGATGAAAATTTTTACATTTGAGAAGTGTTGGACTGTTACAAAATATGGGGATCTTTGGGGTTAGACTAAATGGATTTTGCATTATGGGTTGAGTGTGAGCTTATGACCTGCCTGAAAATGTGGGTTGAATGAAAAATCTTCCAAGTAAGAAGATGTATATGAGACTGTCTCTAGTTTGTGGTTTCATCAGGGTGCACATGGAACCTTTAGCATGAGGGGTCTGTTCAGAATGTTTGTACTCTGACCACAGAGGTGAAATTGAGCAGTCTCCTTTCTTCTCATACAGCCACACCATTACCACCATTACAGACTCCAACATTAAATAATATAAAATAAAATAGAAGCAATTGCTTTTCCTTGATAAGCCATTTTTTTCTGCACTGATATTTTTATTTTTTATATTTTTGGCTGATAGAATGAGGTTTTCATACATGTGAAGCCTTTGCTTTTATGCTGAGCTTTACCCACTTGTTCACTTTTAAACTTTGGCAGAAAGTATCATTTTTCTTTCCACTAGGATAGCATGCATTCATGACATTAATACAGAGATTCACTTGTGTCTACTTCCTGAGTTTTGGGACTAAATGTGTACACCATCTTCCCATCTTGTCCATCTCTTTTTTTGGGGGGGCGTTATTTCACTCATAGTTTTATTTAATAGTTCATCATCAGATGCACTAAGGGTAGAAACTCAAGCAGTGAAGGAACTTTGAGACAGGAGCTGATGTAGAAGCCATGGAGGGGTGCTGCTCACTGACTTGCTCATCATCGCTTGCTCAACCTGCTTTCCTATAGAAAGTAGGACCACTAGCCCAGGGATTGTACCACTCACAATTGTCCAACTGTTTTTGATGTCAGTAATTTTGATACAATTTTACTAATGTTTATATAATACTGTTGCTCTGCTTGCATGTGTAGCAGGAATCTTAAATGGTCTTATTAATAAAATCAAACCTGGAGCCAGGTATTGGGGTGAACTCTGGAAGATCAGAAGTAGAACAAGCCACAGCCACCTCACCTCACCAATTCCTCAGCTGATCCTGTTTCCTCAGACTGGAAGCCTCTGAGTCCTCATCCAGAATGGATCTCAGCTGAACTGCTTCTCAAAAGCCTAAAGCTTAACCAGCTTAGTTCCTGGTTTTCATGCCTTATATACCTTTTTGCTTTCTGCCATCACTTCCTGGGATTAAAGACTCACTTTCTGGGATTAAAGGCGTGTGTCATCATGCCTGGTTGTTTCCAATGTGGCCTTGAACTCACAGAGATCCAGACGGATTTCTGCCTCTGGAATGCTAGGATTAAAGGCGTGAGTGCCACCATTTTCAAGCCTCTGTATCTAGTGTCTGTTCTGTTCTCTGACGCCAGATAAGTTTATTAGGGTGCACAATATTTTGGGGAACACAATACCGCCACATGCATGTCCTTCTATATATGCAAGTCAACATTTCTCTTGCAATGCCATATACTATTCAGAGGGCCCAGAAATGAGACTCATAATCCTTCTTTTCTGTTTCCATCTAAAATGACTTGGTGATTGCATTTGAAATTCTGTGATTTGAATAAATTTGTTGAGCACACACAGTTATATAAATATTCTCAATGAGGTGTACATTTGCTATGTATTCAGTCTCACCATTTCTATTACATATGTGTGTGGGATACTTTAGGATGCAGTGACCTATGAAGATGTGCATGTGAACTTCACCCATGAAGAGTGGGCTTTGCTGGATCCTTCCCAGAAGAGACTCTACAAAGATGTGATGCTTGAAACCTACCAGAACCTCACTGATATAGGTGAGAATGTGAGCTTTCTGTCACTTTTTGACTTAAGGGCACAAGCCTTTCTTCAAGATTGGTGTTCCACTATGATTTTGACTGTAAAAGAGGAAGAATGTAGTAAATAAATCAGGCATGGTTCTAAGGATGACTGAAGATAACTGAAATGTTGCATAAATTCCAATAATATGTCATACAATTCTGTTACTATATTTTAGGCTACAAATGGGAAGACCAGAATATTGAAGAACATTGTCAAGGTTCTAGAAGACATGGAAGGTAATTTTCATGTGCAAACTGGTATATTTATTCCTCTGAAGAAATTTTAATGTGCCTTGATATTTAATGACAAGCAGCAGTGTAAATAATAACAGCTTTGTGATGAGTATTAAAGTCCTACAACATCAAGCACCTCAATTTGACATGCCTGATCTGTGTTTACAAGGTGTTCCTCTATGAAACAAGACAAGGAAACAACTCCCTAAAAGATGTCACCATATTAGAGAGGGAGAAGTGATAATGGTAATTGTTGTCACCTCAGCCTCTTTGGAACTCAAGCAGTGGTGAAGGAAGTTGCAAGGCTCTTCCCTGATCATTTGCTCATTTCCCTATGTGAGAGGACCTGGGTTTAACTTGAACTAACTGCATGGCAACTTACAACCATCAGTAACTCCAGGCCCAGTGGATACGAAGTCCTCTGCTGACCTTCAAGAACACCAGGCATGCATGTGGTGCACATACAATGTACATTTAAGCAAGACACTCATACACATAAAATAATAAAGTAAATATTATTTATTTATTTAATTTACATTGGTGTGAGGGTGTCAGATCAACTGGAACTGATGTTATAGACAGTTGTGAGTTGCCATGAAAGTGCTGCGAATTAAATCCGGGTTCTCTGGAAGAGCAGCCAGTGCTCTTAACTGCTGAGCTATCTCTCCAGTCCCCAATAAAGTAAATCTTAAAAACAAAAAAACAAAACAAACAAAAACTTAGAGCTTCAACACTAATAAATTTCCAATCTTAGTTGGGTGGTGGTGGCATACTATTTTAATCCTAGCACTTGGGAGACAGGCAGGCAGATCTCTGAGTTGGAGGCCAGTCTGGTCTACAGAGTGAGTTCTAGGATAGCCAGGGCCACACAGAGAAACCCTATCTACAAACCAAATATATATATTTGAAATGTTGTACGTCTTCACAAAGATGTATCTGCAGATTATCACAAATGTTAGTCTTGCTACATTCAGTATAAGCTTACTAAACAAGTAGTGGGAGGGACACAATTTAGGATTGACCTGAAGCACTCTTAAGATGTTCAGTATTAGTTAATTTCTCTCCCTACTTTTGTTTAATAGCACCTTTATACTAAAACAATTATTTTAATCAGCTTTTAAAACATGAATAAAATGAGGAATTCAGCAAATAGATAGCAAATGACATTTACATTTTTAGATTTTTAGCTCCCTTCATGTGTACTCAATAACCAACTAAATGAAAGGTGGTTGAAAAACTTAATGTTAACTTTTTTGAGTTAATGTTTTCATAAAATAAATAGTAATTTATATTAGCTACTGAGATTGTAATGCTAAGTTTTAGACACTATTTGAAATATTATATGAATACTTTTGTCATGTGTAAGTATATGATTTTTGTGCTCCTGTTGCAATAAACTTAAGTATTTTCATTAAAAAAAAAAGATGTCACCATATTAATCATATCTCCCTGAGATCCATCTTGTAGAACTATATCCATTTAGTTTCATTCCCTTCAAGTATTGTAAAGGCATTCAGATTGATTATGGGATTAGAGTATGTCCAAGAACTTTTATAAGCAAATTGTCCCTTAATTAAGGCAGTGTTACTCATATGCTTGAAGAGACTTAATGGTAGTGAGAAGGGCAGTTTATGAAAGTAAAATGTTATCATTGTGGAGAGATCATAATCCCTATACCACAACTCTATAATTAACAAAAAGTTAAACTGTTTGAATACAATGTGAAAACCTTTTGTTATTCCTTTAATAGGTATATCATCTGTCACTCTGGACACAAATCATGTGATTCTAAGGGATATGGAAAGAAGAAATGCACCTGTCTTTCTCCCAGAAACATTAGAAAACATGTAATAGTTCCCACTATGGGAAGACATGGTAATCCTGATACAAGTGTACAGTTAGTTGGATTTCCGACTTCATTGGGAATACATCAATATAAGTACCATGGAGAAAAGCCTTATAAGTGCAAGGAATATGGAAATTCTTCTGTCTGTCCTGGTTCATGTTGCACATGTAGTGTGACTCACACTAAAGGAAAATGTTACGAATGCAATCAGTGTTTTAAAGCTCTGAGTTCTTCCAGTTCTATTCAAAGATGTTTAAAAATTCATATGGCAAAAGGATGCCATAAACAAGAGCCATGTACTAAAGATTTTAACCATCATAAGAATCATCAAACACACAAAAGAACCCATAATGAAGAGACACCCTGTGAACGTAAACAATGTGATAAAACATTTAGACTTCATTCTACTTTACAATTACCCCAAAAAACTCATTTGAAAATAAAACCCTCTGAATATAATAAAGGCGAGAAATCCTTTGAATGTCACAGTCATCTTCAAGTACCTAAAACTCATACTGCAAAGAAACAATATGAATGTCATCAATGTGGAAAAACTTTTATACGTCCCAGTCATCTTAAAATACATGAAAGAATTCATACTGGTGAGAAACCTTATAAATGTAAACAATGTGATAAAGCCTTTGTAAGTACTGGTGACCTTCAAAAGCATGTAAAAAGTCATACTGGAGAGAAACCTTATGAATGTAAGCAATGTGGTAAAGCCTTTGCACGTAAAAGTCGTCTACACCGTCATGAAAGAGGTCATAATGGAGAGAAACCCTATGAATGTCAACAATGTGGTAAAGCCTTTGCAGATCCTAGTAATCTGAAACAACATAAAAGAAGTCATACTGGAGAGAAACCCTATGAATGTCATCAATGTGGTAAAGCCTTCGGAGATCCCAGTAATCTTAAACATCATAAAAAAAGTCATACTGGAGTGAAACCCTATGAATGTAGTCAATGTGATAAAGCCTTTGTAAGTAGTGGTGATCTCCAAAGGCATGAAAGGAGGCATACAGGAGAGAAACCCTATGTATGTAATCAGTGTGGTAAAGCCTTTGCATACCGCAATAATCTTCACCAACATGAAAGAAGTCATACAGGAGAGAAACCCTATGAATGTAAACAATGTGGAAAAGCCTTTGCATATCTTAGTAATCTTCAACAGCATAAAAAAAGTCATACTGGAGAGAAACCCTATGAATGTCATCAATGTGGTAAAGCATTTGCACATAAATATCATCTTCACAGTCATGAAAGAACTCATACTGGAGAGAAACCCTATGAATGTAACCAATGTGGTAAAGCTTTTGCATACTCCAGTAATTGTAAAAAACATGAAAGAAGTCACACTGGAGAGAAATCCTATGAATGTAATAAATGTGGTAAAGCCTTTGCACATCTCAACAGTCTTCAAAAGCATGAAATAGATCATATCAGAGAGAAACCCCATAGATGTAGTAAATGTGGCAAAGCTTTTGCATGTAACAGTCATCTGCAAAATCATGAAAGAAGACATACTAGAGAATAATCCCATGAATAAATGAGGTAAAGCTTTCTATACTAGGCAAAGACTCTATCATTTTGAAGATCCCAGAACTATGCGCTATCCAGCAAGACCATCAGCAGTGGTGAAGTGGAACCAGTCTGCTTAGAAGAGAAGCTGTATATGCTGCAGAGAGCTCAGCCCAAAAAATGACCCAAGCCCTTTGGAGAAGCCCGGGAGATTTTTAGTGGATTTCTGTCATTGAATGTGGTATTATTCATATTGTGGGAGTTTGTTTTCACTTTTTTCAGATTGTGACTGCCCTGCTTCTTCCTTTTTGAAGGGAGAAGGTATTTAGTTTAATTTTGATTTTTTTTTATTTTACATGAGCAATAGTTGAAAAGCTTTAAACTTTTAAAAAAGGTTTTGGGTTTTCAGTGAGACTGGACATTTTTAAAAAGAAATTTTAATGTTTTTAAATTTGTAGAAATTATGTGATTTTTAATAAACTATTTCTCTTTTAATGTAAGGTCTTGTAAATGAATAAGAAAGGAAAGGTTGAGGCTTCGTTGTGATATGTTTGTGTATCAAGTTGACAAGTTTGATTCCTAGTACCTACATCAAATGGCTCAGAACAGCTTATAAAGCCTTGTTCTGGAGATCTGATGTACTCTTCAGGCTTCCTTGCACACCAGGTATGGAAGTGGAGCAAATACAGATGTATATGCATGCACATATGTGTGTTGTATGACTCCATATATTTAAAAGAGCTTTCTTAATGTATATGTTATAAATTTTTTCAATAATTAAAAGAAAATAAGTTTAATTTTGGTGTATTGTCAGAACACCATCTGGGAAAGGAGTCATTTGAGAATTCTAAATGCTTATGTTAACACTCCAAGCAAACAAGACACAAGTCTTATGACCTCATTTTCTTCAAACCATGAAATTATTGTCCTTGGAATGTATTTTTGTGCTCCTCCCAGGTGTAGCAGGTAGGTGTGAGTTGACTTCAGATTACTCATTATTGTTTGCTGTTGTGATTCAGTGAAATGTTTGAACTGTCCTTTATATGCTTGTATGGAAAAACATGTTTTTGTCCCATGTGACTTGTTTTTAATCATTGTATACAGCTTGAACTCAGGAGAACTCTACTCATATGACCTTTATAACCTGCAAAGTATAAATTTTCTGGGGCATGGAATAAAGTTGACTATTGTATGAGACTTTAGTCCACAATTCTTGGCTCCAGTATTCCAGGTCCCACCACCTGTAGAGGGGTGAAAAGTAGCACTTGAACAGAAACCGCAAATCAGCTGCAAGTTAAGAGGTGGATGACCCTCATAGAAGGAGGTGAGTGAGAATTACGGGGCAGGAACCATGGGAGGCTTTGCTTTCTATTTAGGTAGTGCATCATGTTTTTAAAGAAAGGAGGAGCACAAGTATTCCAAATTGAATATGATTATAACTCCTGGTTTCCAGAAGAGAAATTTTAGATGAAGTTTTGGGACAGAGCCCAAAACAATATTGAAAAGACATATAAACAAGGAAAAGACCTTTACTCAATTTTGGGTCTTTTGGTCATTAATATGGACTATTATCAAACTAAGGAAGATAAGGAGGACATTAATCATGAAGGACTAACAGAGAATTCCTTGAATGAATATAAATTTTATGATCAAACTTTAAATTTTGTAAAAAAGAAAAAAAGGTGATTTTCCTTGTTCAGGAAAAATCAAAAGTAAAAATGTCATCACCTACATGTATGTTGGTGACAACTCCTTCAGCTACTTTACTGGAGCCTCCTTTACATACATATCCTCCATTTTCTGAAAATAACCCTGAAGCATGGGGTGAGTAATTTACTGATCAATCTAATCTTAAATTCTCTCCATTTGGGTGAAGACAGCCTATGATAAAGTTGACTTCATTTACAAATTCCTTCTGGCCTCATGAGGTGTGATTGGTATTTCCATTGCAGCTTCAGCAAAATCAAAATGTTTAGCACCTAATTATGCACTAACCAATTGATCTAAACTCTAAAAGGGGAGATGGCATTGGACTGTCCTCACATGCTATCTTGAGAGGCAAAAAATAACTATAGCTATTTGAATCCAGACCAAAGAGGCACATGTGTACCCTGTGGATCCTTTGTTGCCTTCAAACTTGCTTATTTACCCCACTAAATTGTCATCTACAGACATGATATAGCACAAGAGGATAAACCGTTGGAATGGATTGATTTATACCATAAAGGCCAGAAACTACTACCTGGCCAAGGGCAGATTTACAGCTAGGTTTACTTAGACCCACAGGTACTCCTCAAGATAAGCCTTCAATAGTTTTGGATTTAAAAGATTGCTGTTAAAGTATACTTATTTATCCTGATAACATGTATTTTGCTGTTTCTCTTCCCTCAATCATAAAGAACCTCTGCTCCAATATCAATGGAGTATATTTCATCAATGCATGAAAAACTCCCCTACTGTGTGTCACTACTATATAGGAAAGGTGTTAGAGTCTGAGAGGAAGGCTTTCCTTTAGGGTTATATCATTCAATATATAGATGATATCCTGTTTGCTAGCTCTAAAGAGGAGGAGCTACAATTCATATATGGTATGACTCAGGAATTACCAAACAAAACAGTGGACTTATTGCACTGAAATAGTACAAAGATCAGACACTGTACAGTGTTTAGAAAAACTGGTTACTACAACAACCATTTAACTACACAAACACAAAAAAATCCATTAGACAACTTAAAAACACTTAATGACTTTCAGAAATTCTTAGGGAGTATTAATTGCCTATGTTCTCCATGAAGAGTATATAGAAGTAACCAACCGTCTTATTAAATAAGAAACACAGAACCAATGCAAAGAAGAAAGCCAAGAGGTCAGAGCTAAGAGCTAAAACCTTACCCTTCCTCCTGCGGTGGTCCTACCTCTCCAAACCAGAGCTACCCCTGTGTTAAAGTCTTTATATGGAGTTTCTGTTCTGCCTTCTCATTGGTTGTAAACCCAACCACATGACCGCCTCATCATGGCCTGTCTGTATAGACCTCCAGATTTTCTATGATTGGCTGTATACTGGCTGTATCCCTGAACACACAGAGACTTACCTAGCTCTGCCTACCAAGTGCTGGGATTACAAGCATACGCCACCACTGCCCTGCTTTCCTATGGCTTGCTAATAGCTCTGACCCCCGGGCAACTTTATTTATTAACATACAAATAACATTTTAATACAAATAAAATATCACCATAAGAGTACCTGCTGATGCCCCAGACATTCTATTTAAAACTGTAGAAGGATAGTCATCATTGGATAGTTCTCACATATTACCCCCAGAGACAAAGTAAAAACTACAGGTATTTGAATCCAGACTAAAAGAGGCATTTTTTTTTTATTATTATGTGGGTTCTTGGCTCCTTTAAACTTACTTATTTTCCACACTAAATTGTCTCATACACTTAGAGCCAAAAGTATAAACCTTTGGAATGGATTTATTTACACCAGTGTGTGTGTATGTGGGGGAACCACTACCAGTTTTCCTTAGTCATGTTGCTCAATTAGTAAATCAGGGCATGACTCAATATCAAAAACTATGGATTTGATTGTTGCTGTATTTTTACTACCCTTAACTAACAATCAGTATTTAAGTATGTTAAAGAACTTTATGGACTTTCAAATCATTTGCAATTTGCTATGGAAAGATAGAAAATCATTATCCTCCTGGCAAGATAGGGGTTTTCTCATATGACCTGAATTTATGATTACAAAAATTTTTCAGCCTTCTCTCATTACACAAGCAGAAACTTATTTTATTGATGGTTTATCTAATGGATTAGGAAGGATTCATAGTCCAGATATTCATCAGTCTATTAATACTTCTCTTTCTGAGCTTATCAAGTGGAACTGGTTGTTTTGATTTATATATTACAGTATGAGTAATTCTTGGTGTGCTCCAATATAAGTTGTTAGTCCCTTGATTACATAGGGTCATGCAGCCTGTTTGAATGTTTTAAGAAATTTGTAATTACAATTACATCATTTGGCCTTTCTATTTTTTCCCCAGCCTTTCATATATCTCTTTTTGCTTTCCAATTTATGGCCTCATTTCACTTTTATTGTTCCTATTTGAATTTGACCTAAGGTTGGTTTTTGAGAACTTCTGAGGTCTGAGGCAAACATACTGCACTAGACATTGAGTGTGTAATGGACTGTGCATACTCAGGACCCTATACCTAAGGAGAAAAAACAATATTCTGGGAGACTGGAACAAATACTACTTTAAATGCAAATTTCCAGTACAGGTTCCCTGTCTGGTCCTGGATAGAACTGGGAATGTCTGTGCTCTGAGTCATTTCATCTCAGATCATAATGTAGGGGTGTTGCTATTCTAGTGAGGCCTCTCTAGCTGGGTGGTACTTGCCAAAGTAGGTCTCTGAACAGGACTTGCAATTGGGAGCAGCAGCAAGGAGCAGTGTGCTGATTCTTTCTAATATGTACTGCTACATATCTGAGTACCTGAGCTACACTGCTTTCCCAGGAATACATTTTAGGAGGTATATCAGTCAGATTTCACTTTATGTATAATACACAATGTAGCAGGACTCAGGTGTTAAATTATCTTTAAACATTGTTTTGTGAGCCTGTTTTGGTGGTGTGTGCCTTTCTCCCAAGCACTACGGAGGCAGAACAGGAGGATCTCTGAATTCAAGACCACCCTAGTCTCCATTGCAAGTTCCAGAACAGCTATGGCTCCTACTCAGAGAGAAACTCTTTCTTGAAAAACCAAACAAACAAACAAAACCTACAACAACATGGGAGAGAGGCACTGATCTAAGGAGAAAAATGGTCCCTGCTCCAGGTCATTAAATTCCCACCATAGAGAAGTAGATTTTTGAGTAAACAAAGATTTTAAAGGGTGGGTAGTTTAAAAAGATTTAAATTCCTTGTTCCCAAAATAAGCTTAATAGTATATGATGGAAAAGGCTCATATTTGGTATTTATTTCACAAATCCTTTTCTCTCTTTTCTAAAACACTTTTCTTGAAACTCATTAAGATGTTAGCACTCTGTACTATGAGGAACATGCCTGACTTCATTTTGAAGGCAAGTGCCATTGTGCTGTACTGTTAAAAATAAGTTTCTATTTACTGTGACAATTGAGTTGCTCTCTGTTTCATGGAACCAGACATTCTCCCAACCATGACCTTGATTTGTGTTTTGAGAATACTTTTACTCTTTCTGACCCTCCCTAATCACATGGTGACCTCATGATTTTTTAAACATTTTTGTATTTCCTTGTTGTCTGTCCCCTTGTCTCTCTTCTGTAATGTTACTTGTGATTCCACGCCTTAAAAGGGGCCCATGAGATGGATTCAGGGCTCTCTCTTTAGCCTGACTTAGGAGGCAGTAATTGGCTAGCACTTGGATACACCCTAATAAAAAAAATCAAGCTTGCCGGGCGGTGGTGGCGCACGCCTTTAATCCCAGCACTCGGGAGGCAGAGCCAGGCGGATCTCTGTGAGTTCGAGGCCAGCCTGGTCTCCAAAGCGAGTTCCAGGAAAGGCGCAAAGCTACACAGAGAAACCCTGTCTCGAAAAACCAAAAAAAAAAAAAAAAAAAAAAAAAAAAAAAAAAAAAATCAAGCTTGCTTCGAATTTGGCTCAAATTGTGGTAGTGTTCTTATTTTCACTGTTGGGATTAATACTATCATGGAATGGAGACTGCAGTGGGGAAGGGAATACTTATTCATAACAGTTGATCAATAATCCTGAGCCAGGTCATTAGTACAAGGAATTAATTAATTATTGCATCTTTTTTTTTTTTTTTTTTTTTTTTTTTTGGTTTTTCGAGACAGGGTTTCTCTGTGTAGCTTCATGCCTTTCCTGGAGCTCGTTTTGGAGACCAGGCTGGCCTCAAACTCACAGAGATCCGCCTGCCTCTGCCTCCCGAGTGCTGGGATTAAAGGCATGCGCCACCACCACCCGGCTGCATCTTTTTTATTAGTGTCTTAGTGTTACTATTGCTATCACAGAACACCATGACCAAAAAGCAAGTTGAGTGGGAAAGGGTTTATTTAGCTAACACTTCCACAGCAGCGCTGTTCATCACTGAAGGAAGTCAAGAAAAGAACTAAATCAGGGCAGGATCCTGGATGCAGGAGCTGCTGATGCAGGAGCCATGGAAGGGTGCTGTTTACTGGTTTGCTTCTCAT